AGCTCTTCTAAAACTAAAACAAAAACAAGAACAATACTATTCAGGTAACATGGCTTTTTATTTATTTTTACAGTAAAAACTAGTTTTAAAAACTCACAAAGTGGGGTTGGGAGTGGTGGTGCACGCCTTTAATCCCAGCACTTGGGAGGCAGAGGCAGGAGGATCTCTGTGAGTTCAAGGCCAGCCTGGTCTCCAAGGTAAATCCAGGCCCAGCTGGGGCTACAGGGAGGCCTGGCTCAAAAAGACCAAAAAAAAAAAAAAAAAAAAAGAAAGAAAAAAAACACTAAAACAAAACACCTCACGAAGTATATTACAGCAATAAGCAAGTCATAAATAACAGACTCAGAGACAATCTAAAGTTTCTTTTTTCATGTCAACCTTGAAAGAAAAATCTTACCAGCATTGTTTTTCCATTTCCAGGTGGACCAAAGAGTAACAATCCTCTGGCAGGAGCTCGGAGCCCTGTGAACAACTTTACAACACATGCATTAGTTACAACTACAATTCTGAAGGATTTATCCTGACATGTCAAGTATTTATTATGTTATTTAAGAACATCTTTTTTCATGGTGAGTATGGCACACGCTTTTAGTCCCAGTGCTTGGGAGGCAGAGGTAGGCAGATCTTTGTGAGTCTGAGGCCAGCCTGATCTACATAGCGAGTTCTAGGCCAGCTGGGGCTGCAGGGAGACCCTGTCTAAAAAAAAAAAAAAAAAAACCTATCATTTTTCCATGGCATCTTTCCAAACAGAAAAGCCAACAGTTTAAAAGGAGCACATCATCAATAAGGTAGTATAATTCAAAACACGATAAAAGAAAATTAAATCAAACCAAATTTTCAGTGCAAAAGAAGACTGATTAAATAAAAGATTGAACCCAGTCATGTTTCTCTACATGGAAATCCTGCCCAGTAGGCTAAGTAGTGAGTCATTCCCGTAATTCCAGCACTCAGGAGGCTAAGGCAGGAGGACTGCTGCAAATTCTAGGCAAGCTTGGCTTATATGGCAAGTTCCAGGCCATCCTGGGTTACACAGTGAGATCCTGTCTCAAGGCAACAGCAAGAAACCCCACAACACATACATACAAGAAATCCTATAAAATAATATGAAATGAATAAAATAACAACCACCACTAAGAAGAAAGAAGCAAAGACAAATGCATCCACATGGTGGCTAACAACCATCCCTAACATCAGTTCCAGGGATCCAACACCATCTTCTGGCCTCCAAGGGCACTGAACATATGTGGTGCACTTTCATACAGACAAACAAAAGAGTCATATACATAAAAAAATATAATGCTGGCTGTGGTGGAGCATGCCCTTAGTCCCAGCACTTGGGAGGCAGAGGGCGGTGGGTCTCTGTGAGTTCAAAGCCAGCCTGGTCTACATAGGGAGTTCCAGGCCAGCTGGGGCTACAGGGAGACTCAGTCTCAAAAAGGCGTCTCCAAAAGACAGAAAAAAAAAGAAAAGAGAAAAAGAAATATGAGGGACTGTAGAGATGGCTCAGTGGTTAAGAGCACTGGCTGCCTTTGCAGAAGACCTGGGTTCAAATCCCAGCACCCACATAGCAGCTAACAACTGTCCATAACTCCAGTTCCGGGGGATCTGACAGCCTCTTCTGTCCTCTGTAGGTACTGCATGACACGGGTACACTTACCTACATGTAGGCAATACATGCATACACATAAAATAAAATAATAAATAAAATAACTTTTAAAAAAAGAAAGTCCATCTTGGTGAACCACAAGGTAACTCAGCAAGTAGAGGTTCTTGTGCTTGGCAACTTGAGTGTCAACATGATGACAAGTGACAATTGAGTCCTGAGAGCTGTCCTCTGACCTCCACACTCTCACTGTGGCACTCATTCTCCTTCCCCTAAACATATATACACACAACGTACACATACATAATAAACAATTTTAAGGGTCTGTCTTTCACTGAGCATGATGGCACACACCTGTAATACTAGCACTTAGGAGGTGATGGTAGACGTTCAAGGCCAGCTTACCTACATAGCAAGTTCTAGACCCTAAACCCGTGTGGACTACATATGACCCTCTCTCAAAAAAAAAAAAAAAGTACAGTTTTCATATAGCAACTTGAACTTTTACCTTTTTTCTTTTGAGACTATTAGAAATAATATGAAATAATTTATTTAAAAAATGTATTTTTGAGAAAGGGTCTTGCTATGTAGTTGTGGCTTCCCTGGAACTGGCTTTGTAGATCAGGCTCTCAAATTCACAGAGATCTGCTTGCCTCTGCTTCATGAGTGCTGGGATGAAAGGCGTACGCCACTACACCTGGCTGTTGTCTGTGTTTATCATCTGCCATTTATTACTTTGTTTATTTTCTTAAAATCAGTTTTAGAGTTAGGTGACTTAATTGTAACTCTGATTCTAAAATGAAAAGGAATTTTAGTGTGTTGAAGAATGAAGTCCATCATGATGCCTGTCATACCCAACTTCCCAACTGTCCTCCCTGCAATCCATGCAAGCTTTCTGCTATGGGGAATTAGGAACAAAGTCCGTCTTT